AGGTGGGAGAATTTTAAAATGGACAGTTTTTTTCCTTTCCACTCTTTTTTTCCATCTCCTGATTTTCTTATCTTGCTTGCTAAGGAGGAAAACAAAGTCGAGAAGCTAATTAATACTTTGCAAAGCTAGTTCTTTCTTTGAGGCTTATAGTGTTTTGAGAAATGATCAAGGCCTAATGACTGGAATCTGACCTTGGGCACTAGCCAAGTACACTGGTGCAAATCAAAATCTTGCAGGGTCCTGAGATAACAGTGAAGGTGAGAATAGAAACCGGAGGATGCCTTGGTAAGACCTTATACCTGACCCATAGACATGGACCCCTTGTAACACATCTTCTCTCCTGCTTTTCATCTCCCACATTCCATTCCCTCAACCCCTCCTTTAAAAACCTCTCAGTAAATCTAAATTTCTGAGACTGGATAGCCTGCTATCTCCTTCAGTTGAATACATTGACTTTTCTAACACCACCCATTTGACTTCTGAGGAGTTTTCTTTTGTTATTTTTCTCTTCTTCTTAAGAGGGCGGATAGTCAGACCTGAGTTCAGTAACAAAGGAGATACCCTAAAATTATCAGACAGTGTCAGACAGCCATAGTGGAATGACAGGTTAGACATGTATCCCCATGCTTACAAAAAATTATATTATGATTGTCATGAAACTCTTCTTTCCTGTAACTAGGCAAAAACAGCATTGGAAAGATAAGGCTCAATCAGCTACAGTTGGAAAATCTCGGCGCCGTCCTCCAAGGGACACCTGTGCCTGCACCAACCTCCCTTCTCATTCCTGGGGGCCCACTACGGCTCCAATTAGACAGAGAACGGGCCCCATGGACATTCTTCTCCTAACAAGAAGGGCCATATCAAAACCATGCAAGGCCAGTCTATGAAGTCTGCGCAATAACACACCTTTTGTGCCTTATGATTCCACGTATGTTCACTCACTGAGCACACATTTGGCTTTCCCCATACCTATTCATAGCATTCCTCAGGCTTGCTGAATATGTATATAGAACTGATCCCAGGAGGCATAAATACCATCCTTTTCCCTTGCCTCAGCAGAGCACACACCTTCACTCTTGCCAGAGGCTGTGTTTCCCCAATGTGTAGAGTGTCTCTTTTGCTGGAAAGTAAAGTCCCCCTTTTTCTCTCTAGCCGATCCTGTAGTTGTTTTGCTAACAATAACTAAACCTTCTTAATTAACATATAATGTTTTTACTTGATGTTAATATGTTGGAAATCTGCAGGCTTGAAGTCATTGTCTCACTTGAATGAATATGATTCTCCACATTTACTTTGTAAACTTATTTTTTATTCCACAGTTTGTCAGATATTAATCTTAATCTTATTTCTATAATGTCAAAATTATAGTCTCTGAGTGGTTGAACTCAGAGACTATGGAAGAGTGTTTGAATTTGGGCTTCTTGACTTTCTTTCAAATTACATGACCTTCTGCTACCTCAGTTTTTTATTTGTAAAAATAAAAATAACAGCTACCTCACAGTGCTACACAAGAATTAAACGAGATAATATGCACATGTAAAGCACTTAGACCAGAGCCTGGATATAGTAAATGTTCTCTGTAAGACTAGCCCTTGTTTTATTCTTGGGAGATATTTAGCAACCTTTCCATACTCATTCTACATGGCTAAGTGTACAGGCTGTATCGGACTTTAAATCTCATCTCTGACACTTCTTAGTTATGTTTTTGTGAACACATTACCCATTAGTTGTTTCTCTTTCCCTATTTGTAAAATTGTGACAATAATATTTCCCACTTCATAAGGCTGTTGAGAAGATTAAATGATATAATTTAAATACCTATTCTAGTGCCTGGCAAGTAAAAATGCTTGGAGACACTATTTTTAATATTTTAATTGCTGCAAAACTTGATCACACTTTATCTCTATTAAAGTGGCTGTTTCTCATATATTGTCACCTCTCAAAATCTTCCCTAACTTTCATAGTCAAGATCAAAGTCTGCCCACTGAGCCTTCTTTAATCACTGCTGCCAAAATATAACACTTTTTTCGTTACACACCGCTAGCTTTCAGTTTTCATCATTCATAACACTTAACCCACTATTTTCTCCACTGAGAGACATATATAAATTTTACCTCTTTTGTTAATTGTAAGCTTCTTAAAGGCTAAAACTACATTCTGTGAAGCTTTTTCCTCACACTTTGTACTGCACTAAGCAAGTGAGCAGTGAATATTTCCTGAATGACACGTTTTTAAAAGCTCAACACTTCCCGACTTCTTTTCAAGTCTTTTAAAAACTGTCAGGAATCAATCCATTCAAATAAGGTTTCTACATTTTTTTCTCCTTTCATCCATTTATTTAGAATCAAAAATATGAATTTTTTTTGTTAGGGAATTTAAAGTAGACTTTTATACTATGCCCTTAATCATAATTAACTGCTTTTGAAAAATGTGTTTCTCTAATTAACTGGATATAGAAGGCTAACTCTTAAAAAAAGTATATTTTTCTAAGTAAAATACATCTTCAATACAGTTGGCCCTAGCAGGCTGCCTGATTCCATCCATAGATGATGCTTAATCCATACCGTAATGAAAGCAATTCCTGATAACTAAGATAAAAGTCAAATACAATTCCAATGCTCGAATTTAATGATGACACTATGAATGGATATGTAAGTACATGTAGCCCTCTTCAAGGTAGAAGGTATTTGGATAGCTTGATGTTTACTTTGGACTCTAGCCCAGTTCTTTACTAGCAAGACTTATTGAAAGTATCAAAGAGAAATTTTCTTTCATTAAACAAGGGTATTACAGGAAATAATCTCAATAATACAATCAGGGTAATTTTTCATGAATTATTAAATTAAATAAGCCCACAACAAGTTTATCACAAGACTAAAGGAAATTTTTAAAAAAATTATTTCTAAACAAAACCCTGTATGTAACAGAAGACCCAGTCATATATTGTGTGGTTATAGCATAGTACTTATTAAAAAAAAAAAACCTGAGGAGAAAAGAAAGAGGCATTTCAAACATGTGTGAATAATTCTGTGACTGTGTATTTAGAATACATTTTCAAAAATATATTTATCTAATCAATAATAAAACTGTCTTCTCTCATAAGACTCTCCTGAGTGCAAACTATGCAGGAATTGGAAACAAGCTGTCAAGGGATTTTCTTTCTGCATCGGCATTTATAATCTAAGAATAAAATTCTCATTTTAATGTTCTGAAAATGTCTTGACCAAACATCACTTTCTATTCTTTATTTTACAGGACTGTTTTCTAGTACTAACTGAAAAGCATTTTCCCTCTTTAAAGAAAGTTTTAGAGTTTTAAAAATTCATTATTTCAACTTATGTTTGGTTGGAGGTCATAAGAACATCACTTAAGGCCATCAAGGCTACAAGTAATCTGACTGGAAGAAAACTCACAAAGGCATACTCAGCCTGTTGATTCCAGAGATGAAGAGTTTGCTACATCCACTAAATAATCTATCACCGTATTTCAGACTCGTGTTGGTTTCAGTCCTTACTTTTACTGATGAGCCAATCATTTTTAATATCCTTTTTGTTTATTTTATTCATTTCAGTCTCTTTGTCTTTGTTCTATGACCCTTAAATAACATGAATTAAACAGCAAAAGTACAGATTTCCGTACTGGAGACAAAGGAGTGTGTTTCTAGAGAGTGCCACAGACTTTGGCTGAAGCCTTTCTGTCAGGTTTAATGCGACACTGGCTGCCAAAACCCCATGCAATCTTTGTATATTTAGGACTAAATTGTAACTGCCACTCGCTCTTCCTCCCTGGGGGTCCTCAGGAGCTCTTACTTGTTGCTTCCCAGATTTCTGCCAACTTGTTCTCAGTTCTATTGATGACACTTTCTGGCCTACCCTCGTGTAACCGTTCTTCAATATTGTTCACAATGCTGGGTATAGCATGACAAGAAAACAGTTTTTCTCTTAATGCTTATTTACTTATTTACTAAGAAAATAAATTGCACTACAGAGGGTGAAATCCTCTCATTTTCTTTTGATAAAAATGTAAAAACTAGACCCATTCATACTGAAAATAAAATTTTTCTGAGACTCCTTCTTAAGACATAACCTCTACGGAAACACATTTCAAAACACACATTCTTTATTGAGATCTCTTTATTTCCCCTCATTTGATCATACCCATCTGTGTTCCATTTCTTCTCCCTAGTGACAAAAATAAGAGGGAAACTATACTTGAAGATCTCTGGGATTAATCAGTTAGAAAACAGGTGGATAAATTCAGAAAAAAATTAAACAGAAATAATACTGTTTTTGCTTACTTTTCATAATGTAACACAAGTAAATATAGTGAGACAATCATTTTCTCCTCAAAATATGGTAAATTTAGGGACAATGCTTTATTTTGGACCTTGAATGATTAAATAAATTAAATGTTTTTATACTATCCAGTATTTTTCTGAGATTTCATATGATGGACAATATGCAGGGAAAACTATAAAATAATATAAATTTAGTGACTCTGAAGAGTTAAGTACTTAGTAGTTACTGAAGTCTACACAAAGGTGTAAACAAGATCTGTCAGATATTTTTGTAACAAATAATAAGAATAGGTAATTAATTTTTTTTAGTGTTCTTGGATATACAAAATGGTCTTTTATTATAATAGAGAAGTATGCATTTTTTTGAAAAGGGAAAAAACCAGTAATGTCTTTATGACTTCCCACCTATCATTTGAAAAATCAAGACATAATGGAGTGACGTTCCCTTTGGAAATATTTGTAAACTGAGCATTAGGTATAGGTATTTATTTTTAAATTTGATTTCAAAAGGATTTCATACAAAATAATTGAACTTAATGATATGAACCAAAATTTTCGTTTTGCTGCTAGGTTTGTAAGAAGAATATGACAAGAAAACCACAAATAACAATGAGTAAACTCCTCAACATTTTTCAGGAATTAATGAAGTTGCTTCTCATGAAAACATAATCTTACAAAATTCACACAATTTACAGACACTTACCATATTCACTATCATAGAATATAATGAATTTCTGCCAGGCATACTCTGTGATGACTCTTAGGATAACATCATTCAAGTAGACAGGTGGGCGAACAGAGAGAGTATAGTCGTCATTCCTGTTGCTCCTGGTGAGTCCACAGCTACTTCTTGGAGTCCCAGCTGTTGAGCGCTGAATGAAGAGGTGGGGGATATGCATGGCATCTGCCAAAGACTGGAGGGACCCTGCTGACGTGCAGCCAATGGAGCTGACCAAGGCTAAGATGCCTTGACTCATAAGTTCACAGGCTGCAAGAAAGCACAGTAATATTCAAGATGTTAATGGCCTTCACACATTTTCCCTTTTTGAGGAGCAGTGAATAAAGCTTACAGAATTACTACACAACTATCCACATTTTTTAAAGAAAGGGACATTCTATATGAGAAGATCCTCAAACTATAAAATATTTCCAAAGTTCAGTTCAAGAATTCTGTCCT